GCTAGGCCTTCCGCGGAGCGCCGCTGGCGGTCCGCATCCACGTTCAACTTACGGTTAGTGCCTCTCTTAGGGTTCCCCAAGGCCCGGCCCGCTTCAGGCCCACTGAGGTGGAGAGGGCTAGCTGGAGCCTTCGGCGCCTCCCCACAGCTCTGGCCGGGCTCTCCTTGACCGCTGGGAACTGCCTCGAAGCTCAGTGTCAACACGGTGGACTCTTTGAAGGCGGTGGAGCTCTCCGGGGACGGGTACCTGAGGACGCCCAGCACGTCCTGGTCGGTCAGCTGCTGCAGGTTGGCCTCCTCGGCCTCCTCAGACTCCTCGATCAGGTCCAGGAGGTCCCTCGCGTGGTCATCTGGGGAGCCAGGTCGGCCTTCTCGGCCCCACAGCACCGGCCCTCGCTCTTCCAGCATCTCCCGCTCAGACTGGAAGCCCTCGGGGTCCGGGTATCTGCGGACGCCCATCACATCCTGGTCGGTCAGCTGCTGCAGGTTGGCCTCCTCGGCCTCCTCAGACTCCTCGATCAGGTCCAGGAGGTCCCTCGTGTGGTCATCTGGGGAGCCAGGTCCGCCTTCGCGGCCCCACAGCACCGGCCCTCGCGCTTCCAGCATCTCCCGCTTCGACTGGAAGCCCTCGGGGTCCAGGAAGCCGCCTCCGCCCTCGCCGCTCCAAGGCTCCCCAGGCTCGGGACCTGGCTCGGGTCCCCGCGGGACTGCGGGGCCTGCCGCGCGGACGCCGGCCCGCTCCCTGCCCTTTGGGCGGACACGCCTTCTCCACACAGACACCTCATCCGGGGAGCTCATGTCGCGACCCGGGTGGCCCCGGAACCGGGGTGACGGTCGATGGCCCGAGTCGCGGTCGCGGTCACGGCCGGCTAGGCGGGCGGCGCTCAGAAGGCAGCGTCAGCCACCTCACGCGCCGCACGAGCTCGCCTCAAAAGAAAGGACGTGCCACTTTCAGCGCTCCTCCCTCGCCCACGCAGCAGCCTCCTCATTGGTCCGGCCCCCGCCAACCAGCGGGCGCCTTGTTCGCCCGCCCCTTCGAAGCCTAACCAATGGGGTCGAGGGCCTCTGGTTTGCTTGCAAGCCCGTGGGCGGTGCGGGCAGTTGGCTGGTGAAGGGGATGGTGG